GCCTGGAACGCGCTCGACGCCGGCCTCTACGACCACTTCAACGCCACCTTCTGGCGCCGCGTGGCGCGCGCCGGGCGCGCATGCGTGGAGCGCGAGGCGCGCGAGCTGCGCGCGGCCCGGGAGCGCCTGCTGCGGGGCTGCTTCGGCGCGGAGCCCGTGCTGCGGCCGGCCGCGCAGATCCGCACCAAGCAGCTGCAGCCCTGGCAGCCGAGCCGCAAGGTGGACATCATGGGCTATGACCTGCCCGCCGGTGGCGCCGGCCCGGCCACTGATGCCTGCCTCAAGCTGGCCATGCCCGAGGTGCAGTACTCCAACTACCTGCTGCGCAAGCAGAAGCGCCGGGGTGGCACGTGGGCCCGACCCGAGCCCGTGCTGGACAACCCACCACCGAGGCCCATCCGAGCGCTACCGCGCGGCCCCCAGGGCCCCTGAGCTCCTCCTGCCCATGGGACCGCCCCATCACCGACCTTTCTTTGCAAGGGCTTAACTCCTGCCCCCAAGGAGGGAGGGGGTTGTGCCTGGGGAACTGAGCCCACTTCCCCGGGGTAGTCCCAACCCCACCTCTGGAGAGGGTACTGATAGGCCCGATCGAGCCCCGGGTCACCCTCTCCTCCTCTCCAAGTGGTTGGCGACTTTGCCGCAAGGCCTGAGGCCTGCCCAGAACCGCCACCCTGCCTTTTTCGGAGGTCTGAGCTGCCTACCAATCCGACTGCTACTCGGAGCTGGGAAGGGCAGGCAGCACCTTGCCTGGCTTTTCGAATGAAGGAGCCCAGGTCCCAGAGACACGCTGAACCCCCGCAATTGCTGCCCCTGGCGGTCAGCGGCCAGCCAGCCGGGTTCTTGCCCTTCGTCCAGGGCCAGCGGGGCCCACACTGTCTTCCAGGTTCTATTAGCCCCATAGATCCGAGCTGCTCCCAGACCCCCAGAACCAAGTGTTCTTGGGCCGGGCTTTTTGTTTGGTGTTTTTTCCCTTTTTTTAATAAAATACCTTGGAAATGTGCCCCTTGTGTGTTACTCCAGGAAAGCCAGGTGACCCTAAGTTCCCAGGAAGAGCCCTACTCAGGTTCAGACTCCACCTGCTCCCCTGCAGCCCCTCCAGAGCCCACAGGCTGGTTGGCCCCGGCAGCCCCACACAGCAGTTTTCTTGTAGCAACTGGAGAAAAGGAGTGGCCTCCCATCATCCCTGTCACTTGGGGACACGGCTGAGCAAGGCAGGGTTGGGGCCTAGACCCTGGGAGCTCCTTGGCTAGAGCAGAGTCTGGAAGGGGGGTCGATTTCAGTGAAACCACAGCCAACCCAAACTCACTGCCATCAAGTCCAACGTCTCCTAGGCTTCACTCAAAATACCCTCCCGAAGAGATGCTGAAAGGAAGCCTCGTGCTGTGGTCAAGCCTCGGCTGCCAGCCCACACTTTGACAGTTCAAACTCGCCAGCTTCGCTGCAGAGGAAGAACTCGAGAGTCTGCCTCTGTCGATATTTATAGCCTTGGACACGCAGCGTGGGAGTCTCCCGCTGTCCCGTGGGGCCACGAGGAGGCAGTCCACACCTCCAGAGTGGATTTTCTTTCTGAGTTGCTGACTCCACCATTGGCCACCCTCACTTCCCAGAAGACAGTGCTGACGGAGGAGGGCCAAGTCCTCCAAATTCCTCTCCGCGGGATCTGAGTGAAACCTTCCTTTGAAGCACCGCTTCGTCTGTTTGGTTCTTCAGAAAGACATTGCGCTCTCTGGACGAGTCATGATCAGATTCACTCACACAGTCCTTCATTTGCCCGCCACTCTTCAAGAGGCAAGGCAGGCCTGGTGGCGTAGTGGGTTATGCTATATGTTGGGCTGCTAACCTCAAGGTCGGTGGTTCAAAACCACCAGCTGCCCCTGAGGGAGAAAGAGGTTTTCTACTACAGTCAAGGGTTACAGTCTCAGAAACCCACAGGAGCAGTGGAGCAGTGAGTTTGGTGTGTGTTTATGTGAAAGGATGTATGAATACTGACGTCAGTGCCTCCTTTCAGGCAAGGGAACAAGCTCAGGGCCACACAGTGAGAAGGCGGCCCTTAGGACCCGAACCCAGTCTGTGCTCCACATACTTGAATGGAGAGGCAAGGCAGACTCCCCGGACCTTTCTCCTCAAAAATGTCAAATGAAGCAGCGACGCCGCTGGCACTGCCGTCGCCTTGTCTGCGTCTCAGCTTTCTCAGGGACAATGGTCGATCTGTTTGGTTCGGGTAGTGTGGAAGGCAGAGGTAGGTTGTCGGGTCCTGTGACACTCCTGGCACCCCAGGCTTAGAAAGGGCCTGTGTGGGGCACCTGGTTTTCACCAGTAGGGCTCTGGAAAAGGCCAGGGGAGATGGTATAGGTCTCGGGCGGTCAGCAGCACTGGGCTATGTGGAGACACGCGTCCACCTGCCACTGGCCCCCATCTCTCCCGCGCTGGCTATGTTCTTGTTGTAAGGTGCTATGCACAACAGAAGGAAACACTGCAAGGTCCTGCGCCCTCCTCACCTGAGCCCTACGGCGGAGCCCAGTGATGCAGCCCCGGCGTCAATCCATCTCTGGCTATACCTCGGCCTAACCCATCCCTCCTGCCCAGGGTCCTCCCGGGGAAGTCGGAGAGGCTCTGAAGTTCACCTCCACAGACCTCCCAACTCCTGCCCAAGCCTCCCCACTCTTCAGCCAAGAGCCCCTCCTCTGATCTCAAAGCTCTGAGATGGTGCAGGGACCCTCTGGAACCATCAGGCACTGGGAAGGGGTTTCTCCGGGGCAAAGGCAGCTCTTTGAGTTGGCATCAAGTCCGTCAAGTACCTTTCAGAGCTCAAGCACCTGCAGCCAGAGCCACAACTCCAGGGCACAGGCCCTAGTAGCTGTGACCCTGCAG